ATCACACCACCAACAACAAAAGTATATTATCTTCATTTATAGAAGATAAGTTTGTGATAAAGGTAGCTAATCAAGAAAAGGTTCAAGTACTAGGCAAAGGAAATGTGACCTTGCCTGGTCTAGGGAAAATAGAGGGGGTATTATTAATCCCAGAAATACCTCACAACATACTAAGTGCCATAAAATTAAGCAGAGAATCTGATATCAATATAGTTTTCTCAAAGGGGAAAGCAACTATAGAAATGAACAAAACAAATGTAGGTACTGTAATGATAAAAGGAGGTCTACCCTATCTGATAACTAAAGAAAGATGTTTACATAACATTGATTCAAATATGGAAGATTGTATTGAAGCAGATGATGAAAATGTCAGTAACAGTGACAATGATGAGTGTAGAATAACTCATGATCACAAAAACACATACAAGGAAAAGAAACCAAAAATAGGTAAACCAATTCATGATGAGTGTGCTCACATCTTACACAGGAAGTTAGGACATGCAAGCTTTCCTGTAGTACAAAAAATGACTGAACACGCAGAAGGTGTCAAAATAAAAAATTGTGAAAATTATTTGGAATGCTCAGTATGTAAGTCCACCAAACTAAAAACCAGTCCCAGACCAAAAAAATCTAACAGATCAACTAACAATATTTTTGATTTGGTACATATGGACTTAGTTGGTCCATTAAGTCCCTCAATTACCTATAGAAAACGTTACTTCCTAACAATAATGGATGACTACAGCCGATATGGTTTTGTTTACACATTAAAGCACAAGGATGAAACATTTCAGAAATTTAAGGAATTCTACAAACGTATAGAAACACAACATAATATCAGAATAAAGCAAATTATGACAGATAGGGGATGTGAGTTCATGTCTAAAGAATTCTCCCAATGGTTAAAGGATAGAGGAATGTTACATTTCACGTCCAATCCTTTTTCTGCATTTCAAAATGGAGTTGCAGAGAGGAAAAATTCCACACTACAAACCATGATTAGGTGCACATTAGAGGATGCTGGTTTAGGCAAACAATTTTGGTCAGAGGCATTACATTATTCGAATTACACTCAAAATAGAACCTGGTCCAGTATTGTGAATAAGACACCATATGAGGTGATGTACAATAGAAAACCCAAATTATCACACATGCACATATTTGGAGTCACTGCAGACGTACACATACCTAAACAATTGAGGAGAAAGGGAGAAAACGTATCCAGGAGATTAAGATTCATGGGATACGAAACTGGAACCAAAGGGTACAGATTTATTGATAGTAATAACAAATTTATAGTATCCAGAACAGCTGTGTTCCATGAACAGGCCAATTGGTCAAAATTGCACCTTAATGAAATATTTCCTAATAAATGTAAAGATACGATATCTTGCGAGGAAGGAACAACAGAAAATCAAAATATTAACAAAAGTAAGAACAAAACCAAAACTTGGACTAATAGTCAGCATAAAATAAAGACAGACACATTAACAAAAAAGGAAGCTAGATATTTGCATGATAACCATAGCAAGCCTGAAAGAACTATTAGAAACAATAGAAACCAAATACCAAATAAATACAAAGATTACATAATGCATATGAATGGAGAACAAATAACACCTAATACATATGAAGAAGTATTGAAACTTCCACATGAAGAAAGAGAAAAATGGGAACTAGCTATAGAAAAAGAGATGGAAGGTTTACAAGGATTAAATGTATTCACACCTGCGATCGCACCTAAGGATAAAACAATTATAGGTACCAGGTGGATTTATAAAATTAAGAACTTAGAAGGAGGCAATACCTTATACAAGGCTAGACTAGTTGCACAAGGCTATGCACAAAAATATCCAGAAGACTATACTGATACATATTCACCCACAGTGAGAACAGAGAGTGTCAAAACAGCCCTTGTAGTAGCATCTGCACTCAATCTGGACGTATTCCAATATGACATACAGACCGCATACTTACATGCAAAATTAGATAAGGAAATATATGTAAGAGCACCACACAGTCAATACACTAATAAGAACGAAATTTGGTTATTAAATAAGAGTCTGTACGGATTAAAGCAATCCGGCAAAAGATGGTACGATTGCTTGGTAAAAGTACTTAAGACCATGGATTTCAACGCCACCACTGCTGATAACTGTTTCTTTGTAAAAAAGAGTAATGATCATATTGAATTTGTATTAATTTACGTGGACGATATTTTATACATTGGAAAGCATAAAGAGAGCAGGGAAATCTTTGTAAATAAGTTAAATGAACACTTCTCACTGAAATCTCTGGGTAAAGTGAATAAATACCTTGGTGTGCAAATTAACAAAACTAAAAGGGGATTCAAACTTACACAGAAAGATAAAATCATCGAACTCCTAAACAAATGTAACTTAAATAATGCTAAAACCTGTGACACCCCTATGCAAACTGATTTTCTTAGAAACACTGATGAATCTTCCCCTGAGTTTAAAGACAACACATTTTACAGATCAGTTATAGGTTCACTCCTTTATATATCTAATTGGACTAGGCCAGATATTGCATTACCTCTCAATCTATTGTCAAGATATGTTAGTAAACCAACCTTGTATCATTGGAAGCTGTCAAAAGAATTCTAAGATATCTGAAGGGTACATTAGATTTTTGTTTAATGTTGGAACCCAATAATGACAGAGAACCAAAAATTACTTGTTATGCTGATGCAGATTGGGCTGGTGATACATCATGCAGAAAGAGTACTTCTGGTTATGTTTTTCTATTGAATGATTGTCCAGTTTACTGGTATACTGGTAAACAAGAACTAGTAGCCACTTCTACTACAGAAGCGGAATATGTTTGTTTGTCCAAAGCTGCAAATAACCTTGTATGGTTCAATGATCTGATCACTGATGTTTGGAAGAAACCCACCTTACCATTTATTATGCATGAAGACAATAAAGCGGCCATTGAAATATCCAGATCCGATGCAATTGGACAAAGGTCCAGGCATATTGATATAAAGTTTAAGCATGTGAGACAACTGTCTCAAGACGGATTCATTAAAGCAATACATTGCGATACTTCTGAACAATTAGCTGACATATTAACAAAACCCTTACCTTCTAAACAACACAAATATTTAACTTCTAAATTATATGTATTATATTGTCCTGAATCAGAATGTAATTGGTGTTGTGTAACGAACTGGCATTTAGAGGGGGATTTGTCAGATGTAAATGCCTTATTCTCCAATGTGTAAATAATGTATATATGGAACATCAGAGGTTAACTTATTCTTTGGACTTTAATGTATTCATAACTTACCACTCCCATTCCTAGCTCCACCCCTTGTATATATAAGGAGCCACCCTCACCATTCTCGTCGCTTCTACCTTGAATATTCAGTGAATATAGAATGCCTATCATAATTAAAAAGAAATATATTTAAAGCTTTAACTTCTATTATCTTTATTGAGTCTGATCCTGGAAATATTGCAACAGGGTACAAAGTTCTACTATTTGTTTATTATTATTTCATAGTTTTAGATAACCACCCAATTCAAATAAATGACTTTGGGCCACTTCTAACATTAAAATAATAAGAAACTTAAAAACATAAAAACCTGTAAACCACAAATAACTATCAACATAATGTATACATTTAATATATAAAATAAATCAGTAACTAGGAGGCAGGCTCCCTCACGCATCTGAAGCCTCAGATTTGAGCACTGAACCTACAGGGAACTTTCACACAAAAATGTGTCAACAATTTATGAAGTAGTGGAACTCCAGGGAGATACGAGAAACAGAAAACTATCTTGCAGCCAAATTATGACAGACAAGAGACTAGAAGGCCAAACAGCAATTATTTAAAAGAGATCATGACTTTTTATGATTCACAGGCTCATCCACAAGCCTCACAAATTTAAACTGCACGGTCCAAAAACCACTGTGTTCTAATATCAATTTATTTCTTCCAAGCTAGAGGTGAAAGATTAGAATCCATTTCTTTGGGTTTCCTGTACCTTCTACTGTGCTTTTATTGTAGTTTTGCTTCTGCAAATGAAAGTTCCTAACAGCCCAATCAACCTTTAAAAACCTTCTTCCTTATCTATGAATGCATCTCATCTCTTCTATCATCACATATACTGGCATGGAGTTCCATCAGCTACCAACATGCATTGTGAAAAGACAGTATCCTTTACTTCTGGATGTCAAGCAAGACTCAGCTCTTGATAACTTGCAAGCAGACTATTCTGATTCATTGCTTCTCCTGCTTATATATAAGAACAGGGAAACCGTTTGGTATCCACAAACAATTTGCCTTCTCATTAAGTTCCCACTCTGAAAATTTGTATATGGAAGCAAAAGTAATCTGGAGAATGGGTCTTATTTTGGAAAGTCTCTTTGAAAGAGAGAAGGAGTAGCCATCCTCTGAAGTCTCAACACCAATTAAACTTAGAGCGGGCTACGCCTGCTAATGAAGTTCCTCACATTAAGTGATTAATACATTAAGGAAGGGTTTTTCAATGAAGAAACTGACTCAGCAAAAAAAAAAAAATAGCAAATTTTGACACAGCCAAGAGCATTTTGGAGAGTACTTTTAAGTTGATAACCTTAATTTATCTGCCAATGTTCTCATCATTTGCTGCTCCTATTTACTAACTTCATCTCAAGAAGAGGAGAGGAGAGGAGAGGAGAGGAGAGGAGAGGAAGAGAAGAGAAGAGAAGAGAAGAGAAGAGAAGAGAAGAGAAGAGAAGAGAAGAGAAGAGAAGAGAAAAAACATTACTGTTTTCCAATCTTCCTCCCTGCTTCTCTTCTCACTTTTTTTTCTTGTGGTTTATCATTTTTGTATCTTAGGAGCTTCCAAAGGAACAAATTTTCAGTTTACCCCTTTCCATCACACCGTTAATTTCTGCCTGCACCTTGGTACCAGAACTGTCCTTCTTTAATCAGAAAAACAGCTTGCCAAGAGCAAACAGAGGAGATCCAGGGACTGGCCACTTACCTTTCAACTGGGAACTGAGAAGTTGGTGTCTCTGGCTCAGGGGGCAGCCCAGCGTCTGCCTAAACCGCCTGCATTTGTACAAAGCACAGAAGAGACGGAAGGGAGGGTGGGTGGGAGAAGGGAGGGGCCTCCAGATTCTAGCCCAGAGGTTGGCTGCATCTGCAGGAGTCTTCTCGTCGGCTCAGAAGGGAAGGGGGTCTGTGGAACTCACTGGGAAAGGGAATTTAATTATTTTTGTAATTGAAGGTTACTTGGGAAGGTCATTCCAGAATGCTAAGAGAAAACACATGTGTGGCAGAAGACAATAAGGTCCATTTCAATCCCCAGGGCCTAGAATTGAGGATGAGGCAAGAGTAAATGAATCAGGACAGGATATTGCAAAGAGGTGAGAAAGTTGCCCACTCCAGCTGGAACAGATGTTTTATCGGGGTGCGGGTGGGGGTAGGGGAAGGAAGTATAGCTAAAGTGATGTAGTGGCTAAAGTGCTACACTAGAAATCAGAAGATTGTGAGTTCTCGTCTAGCTTTAGGCGTGAAAGCCTGCTGGGTGACTTTGGCCCAATCACCAGGAAACTGTGAGTTCTAGTCTCACCTTAGGCACGAAAGCCTGCTGGCTGACTTTGGACCGATCATTCTCTCTCAGCTTAATCCACCTCACATGGTTGTTGTTGTGGGGAAAAATAGGAGGAGGATATTCGCCATCTTGAGTTGTTTGTAAAAATAATGTACAAATAATAAAGGGATATATTATATATATATATACTAACTACTAAATAAAATAAAGTAAAATCCAAACTGCCATGTTTCTAAGAGGGCACTTTCAATGCAAGTTTGATCCACATCACTCAACTTCCCTTAAAGTCTATGGAGACTCTCAGTGATCCAGGTCAGGGGTCTCCAACCTTGGGAACTTTAAGACTTGTGGACTTCAACTCCCAGAATTCCTCGGCCAGCAAAGCTTTAAATCTTAAAGTTGCCACGGTTGAAGACCCCTGATCCAGTTAGTTATTCTAAAAGTGCTTTTTCAAGAGGCAACTGGACTTTCTGGTTTTTCTTTGAAGACGTTTTGCTTCTCATCCAAGAAGATTCTTCGTGAGCTGAAGAAGCTTCTTGGATGAGACGCGAACCGTTTTTAGAGAAAATCAAGAAAGTCCAGTTGCCTCTTGAAAAAAGCACCTTTGGCTTCCCTTAAAGTCATTTTATTGCCTCTTTTGCCTCTGCGGGATGCATCCCCTACCATATAAAAGCACACAAAACTCATTTTTTTTCTACCCCTACTTCTTCCAGTTAGGTCTATGCATTATTGCTCCACCCTCCCCATCCTTTGGAACATGTAATACAGGTGATCCTTGACTGACAATGACAAGTTGGATCAGAATTTCCATTGCTAAGCAAGGAAGTCTTTGAGTGACTCCTGACTGATTTTATAACATTTTTTGCCATGTTGTTAAGCGAATCTGGCTTTCCCATTGTCTCTGCTTGTGAGAAGCTGGCTGGTAAGATCACAACTGGAGATAAATGACCCAGGCCACTGCAACCATTCTACAGGTAGTCCTCAACTTAAAAGAGTTCTTTAGTGACTGTTCAAAGTTATAACAGCATTGGAAAAAGTGACACCTATGACCGTTTTTCATAGTTATGATCATTGCAGCATCTCTGTGGTCATGTGATCAAAATTCAGAGGCTTGGCAACTGATATATATTTATGACGGTTGTCGTATCCTAAGTCATGTGATTTTTGTTACCTTCTGACAAGCAAAGTGTCAGCACTTCAAGCTGCATTTACTCTAGTGCTGACATAAGAAGGAGAAGCGGAGGCGTCTGGAAAGGGACGTTTGACTTTTCACCTACTTATTTTCCCTGGAGATAATATCCCCTAGGACAGTGGTCCCCAACCTTTTTATCGCCGCGGACCAATCAGCCTTTGATAATTTTACCGTGGCCCGCTGAGCGCGCGCAGGGGTGGGGGCTTTGGGCCACACGTGCGTACCTGCGCGGGGCTCTCTTCCCTGGAGCCTTTGCGCACGGCCCAGGAGCTTTTGCGCACGGCCCAGGAGCTTTTGCGCACGGCCCAGGAGCCTTTGCGCTGCAGCGTTCATGTCCCCCGGCTGCTGCGCGGCCCGGTGCCAGGTACTCCACGGCCCGGCACTGGTCCGCGGACCAGGGGTTGGGGACCACTGCCCTAGGAGATGGGATGGGAGGGGGGAAATTCCTTTGAGCTGGAGCAGTAGATTAGGGGTAGAGTGACTTGGAAGATGGCCAATGAGTGCAGAGGAGTGGGGAAAGGAAAGGGAGGGTTTTGGGTCAGGAAGTCAGTGTTGGCTACGATGGAGTCGGAGTTAGAATGTCGTGCTTAATAAATGGGAGTTTTTCATCAAAGACTTTGTTTGAAATGCAATTTATTTGAGACAACCTCGAAACCTGACACAAAGTCAACTGGGAAGCCAGATTCACTTAACAACTATGTTACGAGCAATAGCAATAGCACTCATCATTCACTTATTTTCAGTTCCGTTGTAACTTTCAATGGTTGCTAAACAAACAGCAAATAGGACTTCACAGTGCTTTCCAGCCCTCTCTAAGCGGTTTACAGAGTCAGCCTCTTGCCCCCAACAATCTGGGTCCTCATTTTATTCACCTCAGAAGGATGGAAGGCTGAGTCAACTTTGAGCCTGGTGAGATTCAAACTGCCAAATTGCAGGCAGCCGGCAGTCAGCAGAAGTAGCCTGCAGTACTGCACTCTAACCACTGCACCACCGTGGCTCACTAACTTAACAACTGCAATGATTCACTTAACAACTGCAACAAGAAAGGCTGTAAAATGGAGCAAAATTCACTTAACAAATGTTTCACTTGGCAACATAAATTTTGGGCTCAATTATGGTCGTAAGTGAAGAACTACCTTACATGCCAGTTGTCAAAACACCTGAATTTTGATCACATGATCTTGTGAAGGTGGATTACTGCAATGATTGTAAATATGAGTACCTGTTGTAAGTCACTTTTTCCATTGTAACTTCAAATGGTCACTAAATGAATGGTGGTTAAGTCCACTACTTGTACTTAAAAAATACTACTCCAACAACTGTAGCTTTTCTTGAATATCATTCTCCTTTACATTTTTAAGCACCCACTTTAAACAAAAAAACAGTTTTCTGGATTGAACACAAAAAGACTAAAGTTAACACAGTAGTACATTTTATTCTTTTGCATTTTTTTTGGAAGAAAACAAACTCAAAAATTACAATTGCCTAATAATGCTAAAAGCGGCTGATTCAGTTAACTATCCATTAGGAAAAAATTAAACATCAATTAAGTAAGGTCCACAAAGATGGAAAAAAAGGAAAAAAAAGTGCTGGAGAACTACAGTTGCTATAATGAAATAAAAATGGTTGTGTTAAAAACTAGATCAGAAGTCAAGAAACTAATGCTGGTGGGTTAAAACTAGCCGGGGATCATATGTTTACAGTGCCTTTTATACTCAGTGGGATTTTGAACCAATTGAATAACAAAATAGCAAAGTTGGAGGGACCTTGGAGGTCTTCTAGTCCAACCCCTGCTCCAGCAAGAGACCCTATTCCATTTCAGAAAAATGGTTGTCCAATCTCTTCTTTAAAATCTCCAGTGATGGAGCACCCATAACTTCTGAAGGCAAGCCATTCCACTGTTTTATTGTGCTCACTGTTAGGAAGTTTTTCTTTATTTCCAGGTTGGTTCTTGCCTTGATTAGTTTCCATCCATTGTTTCTTGTCTTGCCTTCAGGTGCTTTGGAAAATAGGTCGACCCTGTCTTCTTTGTGGAAGCCCCTTAGATATTGGAACATTGCTGTCATGTCACTCTTAGTCCTTCTTTTCACTAGACAGACATACCCAATACCGGCAACCAGTTTTCATATGTTTTAGTCTCCCCCTAATCCTTCTTGATGGGATGTGGTGGCTCAGTGGCTAAGATGCTGAGCTTGTTGATCGAAAGGTCGGCAGGTCAGCAGTTCGAATCCCTAGTGCTGCGTAATGGGGTGAGCTCCCGTTACTTGTCCCAGCTTCTGCCAACCTAACAGTTCGAAAGCACGTCAAAAATGCAAGTAGAAAAATAGGGACCACCTTTGGTGGGAAAGTAACAGCGTTCTGTGCGCCTTTGGTGTTTAGTTGCCGGCCACATGATCACAGAGACATCTTCGGACAGCGCTGGCTCTTCGGCTTTGAAATGGAGATGAGCACCGCCCCCTAGAGTTGGGAACGACTAGCACATATGTGCGAGGGGAACCTTTACCTTTAATCCTTCTTGTTGCTCTTCTCTGCACTCTATCTTGAGTTACAGAGTCTAGAGTTACAACAGTGGAGGCTATCCTCTATTTCAACTGCTCTAAGTGTGAATCCAGAGCCCTCACTTTTAATCTCAAATCTTACAAAGTAAGTTATCTGGGGGGAAAGGAGACTTATAAAGAGTTAGGATGTTGGACCTTCAGGATGAAGAAAACCTCTTTCTTGAAGACTCTAGACTCTAGAGCAGTGTTTCCCAACCTTGGGACCTTTAAGATATGTGGACTTCAACACATGGCTGGCTGAGGAATCCTGGGAGTTGAAGTCCACAACTCTTAAGTTTGCCAAGTTTGGAGACTCCTCTAAAGGGAAGATAAAACAGGTTGGTAAGTGGCTACTGCTACTAGTAGATAGAGAAGGGAGCAAGAGATAGTGTGAGTGGCTGGCGGGAGCTCAGAGGGACTGGCGGAGATTGCACAGGTACAGGAGACTGTCCCTGAAAGGTGACTTTCTGTTAGAAATTCTGTTTATATAAAGCACCACACAGAGCAAACAAAGAGTACAGTCACCATGTGCTTTACTGCTCAACTATATAACTGTAACAGGAAACAGGGAACTTTACTTAGAACAAAAGAGTATAGAGCATATACCATAGTTCCAAACTTGTAAACACTGCCATCTACTAGCTAAATACTACTGTAGTTGTTGCATAAAAATACATTCCAACAACGAATTCCAACACTTTCTCACTGCAAGCTTTCCAGGAAGGAA